CCATCTTGTCATGAAGAAGCTGGATAAATCACCTGTCTCTCTCCAGCACCTTCACCCATGTCTCCCACATGCCCAAAGATCTTGCAGGCTCTCCCCATTCATTAGGATAATATGACAGTGCAGCAGTGTTTTCTGAGAGATAGAGAGCTGACTGTCTCCCTTCATATGTGAGCACACTCTCACATCAAGCTTCCAGTAGTGCTGGCTGCTCATTCACAGGCCACTCTAACCCATGGACTTAGAGCTAAGTGACAGTACAAAGCTGCAGAGAATTAAACCCATGGTTTTGGTCTTCAAAGCATTTTTAGTACCCACCATTTAGAAGTATTGCCAGATTCCAGCTAAGAAAAAGGACAGTGAAACCTTTTTTTTTTTGCTACTGTTGAATTGCTTTTATGAACCCTTTGAAATCCAAACTTCTGCGCAGGATGAAAATGCATCATACATGGTATTTTTGAGTTTCAAAGTGCTCTGTTGTCCCCAAACAATTTTCAGTCTATTTTATTAGGTAGTTATCTGATAGAAGCAAGAGATTCCACAGCCTACAAATCCATCTGAAAAGCCACTTTCAACACTGGGATGTTTCCGATTTCCAGTGTGTTGTTCACATGGGATACATTGTACAAAAAGAGATCAATTCTAGCTGAACTCATAGGAAAATACTAAACAGTGGAAGATGGCACAAATACTCCCAAAACTTCAGCAAGGGTAGAAAAATAACTTTGCAAATTCAATATAGGCTACCAATGAGGTTGAATTACAACTGTCCTCCTAGATCAAGGCAGATGTCCAGCTAGCTACTGTAATCAGAAACAGATGCTTAAATAACAGGATCAGAAGTAGCCCGAAGTGACACTTCCCCTGACACACTGTTTAAATTTCTAGCAATCAGCTGCTCAGTAATTTCCCAAGCCAAAAGGTGTGTTGTGCCCAACAGCTGGGGAGATATATAGGGAAGCAATTATTTGTCATGCCTCGAGGCATGACAAATAGTCATCCATTGACTAAAGAAACATCAGAAATTTTGTTGGAAATCAGTTTCTAAAAAGAGGAAAGTGCATTTCTATATTTGTTTAAATCATGGAAGACACTGTCATAGGTTGTTGTGGAGGCTAAAATTAAAAATGAAGTCAAAAGGAGCTAGGTAGAATTACGGAGGATTCATCCACATGTCCATGCTATCCATTAATTCATAGCTTTCTTTTGCACCATCTCCTTTTTCATCTTCTCTCCTAGCTGAAAAGTCATATTTTGTCCGTTTCCTATCTCCTTGTATTTCACAGAAACAGTTTCAGTCCTGCCATTTACCCTCCACGATGGTCAAAACTGAACACAAGATTCAAGACAATGGCCAGAGAAACAGTACATAAATTGTCAGTATTTTCAATTCCTCTTCTTCAAAATTTTAATGGTCTTTGTCTTTTGGCTTGCTGCAAGATACTGTTTTCAGAGAACTACCACGGTAGCTTAATGCTCTTTCCCAAATAGCAATAATTTATGTGTAACTCTCCATTCTATAAATGTTTGTTTCCTCCACATTCATCACTTTGAACTTGGGTGAGTGCTCTGTTAAAATAAAACAAAAATATACCCAAGCACTACTTATGCTAGTAACCTGAAAAATATAAACTTGAGACACAAAAAATGTAAGATAAACAGCCAGCATTACTCTATACTTCAAATACTGCTTCCTGATGTGAGCCACTGCAATCAAAGAAATGAGTGCCTTCTGAAATACTTTTTCTTTTTAAATATCAGATAATGTTCCTTTGAACTGGCCAGGGTCCACAGTCTTTTCAATACAGCTATATTAGCCTTTATTATATCTGGCATGGCAAATCTGGTCTTCTGATTTGTGTAATAGCAAGTACTTATTAGAGCAAGCACTATACTACTTATTATAGCAAGTACTTGTAGCCCTAGGTTTTGCTCTCAATTGTTTTTCAAGCCAACATATTAATCTAGCAAATTAAAATTATGCAGAAGTAACTAAATTTATTTCTGTTAAAAGTTCACAAATTTTCTGATTAAAAAAAAAAAATAAAAATTACCTCTTCATAATTCCTCCTGAATAGATATTAAACCATTTAAACCAGTGACAAATGTAGCAATCCCAAATTTATGGTATATTACATAATGTTACTATTTTGCAGCTCTAAATTACATATGACTTCAAACTCAGACAATAAATGTGGTTTCTTTAAGCTCTCTAAGGGGCTTCAGTTAGATAAGCATATGCTTCATCATCAAAATAAACAATAATATCACTCCAGTTCAGTGCTAAACTCTCATCTGGTCTCACATTGAATCAAAATTCTGCTTTTATATAGGATCAGGTCCCCTGAGCTGTGTAAGAACAGGCTGATAGAATCCCAGACCGTGAGCCTGTTCTCTCTTCCATTGACAGGAGAGTACAACTAAATGAACAAATTTAATTGCCCATAAGCAGACATATCTGCTTATCAACCCCTTGAGAAGTCAGACCTACAGGTGCACAGCAATTCTCAAGGTTAACGCCAAGACAGAGAATGCAAAGGCCACATTCCCTCAACATGAAATACCCAGGGATGCTTCTACAGCTTGCAATGTCCCGGGACTATTTATTCATCAGCACTTTCCTCCTCCGAGCTATACCAATGCACAAAATCTAAACGCACTGTTAAACCTATCATTCATTGCCAATACCAGTGACAACATAAACAGAGACCCTCAGGTGCTTTCCACCTACTCACACTCTCGGGGCCTTCAAGCCCTGGGACGCACTGGATGCGTACCACATCACTCAGCATGGTCACTCACCACAAAAGCCTTTCTTAAAGGCCCTTAAACATACGTGTGCAAACACTGGGCAACAAAAGGGAAACCACCCCTCAGCCAGTCCCTACCACACGCACAAAGCCACCTCCAGGCTGTCCCTCCACCCCAGCCCCGAGAAGCACGACCCCTCTGCACGGGGCTGACTGCTGGTGGCACGGGGAGGCCGGCACTTACCTACCTACCAGCCGGGCCAGGGCGGCCGGGGCACACTGAGACCAACCGTCACCCGGCAACCGCTGCCGCGGCGGAGCTCTAGCACGTCGTCTCACCTGGCCCCGCCCACCGAAGCAAGCCCCGCCCATCGTCATGAGGCCCCGCCTACAGCCCCCGAGACCCAGCCCGCCTCCCCGAGGCCTCGCCTACCACTCCGATGCTCCGCCCACCCACCCCACTCCCTGCCTGGAAGGAGCGTAGGGCGGTGGCTGTAGGGGGAAGAGTGGGAATGTCACCAGCCGAGTGGGAAGAGCACGGGTGGGTACGGCAGTGAGGACAGGAACGGGACGGGAAAGCCAGCAGGATCTGGGTGTCAAGTGACCATACAGATGAAGGTGTTGGGGTGGCAGTTGGAGGGGAGTTGAAGGCATCTGAAACGTTCTGTGTGGGCTGACGAATAATTAACCAGTGTACAGAAAGGTGACTCCACACTCCTGTGGCGTGTTGACGACTGGAAAATACAACCTGTAGTGTATAACAAGGCTGGCTTCACCAAATGGTTTTGCATTTTTTAAAAATGAGAAACAGATTAAAGTTCCAGACCAGAGTGGTCGAAAGACTATGATGTGGTTCAACTTCTGTTGGTGTCATGATCAGACAGCTCTTTTGGTGCAAGAATACAGCTCTAGTCCAGCTCCATGAATGACAATTCACTGTTCTTTCCCCGTTCACCATTTCCTGGTTGGAGATTGCCATGGCGTCATCATATTCCTTTTTCAATATTCAACCTCGATACAAATAAAGGATGCTCACTGATTTGTGGGGGGAATTTTCTTGGGCAGCAGAAAATCACATAGAGCTACCAGTGCCAAATGCATACCCAGGGCACAGACAGGCTAGCGCACAGGATTAACCTTATCCTGTTTAATGAGTTACCATGCAGAGCCATCTTAATTGACCACATTAATAGACTTTCCACTGTCTAAACCAAACACGTTTGCTTTCCCTTAAGATGATCTGTTTTAAAAAGCAAAGGACTAAAGCACAATGCAGTTAGTTTTCACAGCTCCACTGAGAGGCAGTAATCCATTAAAACAGGTTAATTCAATCATCCAGATTCATCTGTTCATAAATTAGATTTGCCTATTTGAACACATGCATTACCTGATCTTTTAGACTTACCACAATATATTTGAACATTGCTCTTGCCATTCTCACTCACACTTAGGAGGAATCCACATTTGCACACTTTAGATGTAGGATTCATAAATTGAGCACATAGGAAATGTGATCACATCCTTGGTTTTCCCACATGAAAAGCCTGCTTTTTCACAGGTTTACTGTCAGGATGGTACCCAGTGTTTTCTTGGGAGTAGTCCTTAGCAGTGCTTCTCTTGGGGACAGGAAGACTGGAGGCCTGGAGGGAAGACACGGAGTCCTGCTTGCCATGTAGAAGAGGTTGGGGTTTTAAATGCCCTATTTGCATGCACTTACCCTCTCACACTTCCCATATATACTGTACCTTTGCAAGGACTATGGAGAGTAGCAGCTGCTGGTGTATTGCATCAGCATTTCCTCTGCAGCAACATTAAATTTATCCTGCGGTTTGGAAAATGCTGTCTTAGACCATAGATCAGGAAATGTGTTCACTCCCCGCTTGCAGGGTCTGACGCTCAATTAACATCAGAGATAATCACCAGGGGCCTCATTTTCCAAGGTGATGAGCTCACTCAGCTCCACCTGGTGTCACTGCAGTCCAGCTGCCCATCTTCACAGGAAGGAAGGCAATGGGCCTTGACGTGCTCCAGGAAGGTAACGGGATTCAGTGAAAACAACACTGAATTTTATTCCAGACTCTGCCATTTATCTTCCAGGCAATTATCTCAAGTCACCTTGACTCAGTTTTCCTCCACACCTCTTCCTGGGACACACTTCCCAAAGGTTATGCACAGAGTAGGTGTATCGTGGGTGTACCCATTTCCGTGGTAGTCTACTTCTTTCCCTTCTTTTACTGGAAATAATCTTGTTATGGCCAACCTATCCTGAACTGTCTGAAACCAAACAAAGAAGAAATGCATCTTCCCATTATTGAGCAAGAGAAAGATCTGGCACAGCTTCAGGGTAGATAGAGGAGCTTTAAGTTTGCCCTGCTCAGAGTTACTGTAATTGTGCTGGCACCATTCCCAGAGCTGAGCTAAGGTCAGTGAGAAACCTGTAAATTAATAACTGTGGAGCTGATGTGATCTCTATCCAGGAATCACATTGTACATTCATGAAGCTTTATAGGAGACAAAATTCATGTTTCAGTTTTTATAAGAAATGTTTAAATATTTTAAATCTTAATATTGACAGCTCAGTCCCTGGACCTAGTCATAGATATTGGACCTGATTCTGATCTCACCATCACAGAAACTCCACAAAACAGGTTAATCTTGATTAATTACATTGCTACTACCAAAATGAATAGGAATTGGGGTAAATTTCTCCACAACCCAAGCCTGGATGGAAATGTTTTCCTTTGGGTTTTTATCTTACAAGTAAGTGATTTGTCTGTCCTCCTGGTTTGATCCCGTCACAAACAACATCCAGTTATCCTGATTAATACTATTGATTAATAGCTCATTGCTGTTGCCACTTGCATTATTAACATATAGAAACTCCATTGTGCTACAACCTAGAAATGCAGGACCAGAAGGGGCTTTCTGATCAGAGGAACCAGTTTTCTGCTATTGCAGGTAATCACATCAGACACATTTAGATACCTTTCAGTCTCTTCCTCTTTGTTCTGAAAGCCTCTCTCTGAAGATTACACACTGCCTAATTTATAGGCCAAAATTATTTATTGACAAGTCGTACATACTTGCTCTTTTGCCAAATTATTTTTCATCTTAAAATAATTCTTACCCTCTGATGTTTGCATTCCTGATGTATTTATAGGGCCCACTGTCATCTCCTCTTGACATTTATTTTGCTAAGTAATACAAGCCAAGCTCAAAATCTCCTGTCAGTAAGGACAGGCTCACAATTCTTTTTATCATTCAATTTTTTTCTTTATATAATTTACTCCAGATGTCTTGTGCAGTGGAATAAACACTCTCCTTTCTGTACTGTAAATGTCTGGTATATCCTGAGTCACATTATGAAGGTCACATCAAATTAGTGGCTCATAGACTATTAAGATAGGGTTCCTCTTTTTCTTTGTCCTCCCCAGGTGCAAATGCAAGTGGAATGGAAGTCCCCACTGTACTAAAAAGGTTTTGTAAGCACATGACCCTTCATTGTGTACCACTACGTTCTATTCAATTCCTATTACACCAACCCCTTCTTCCCGTCTTTCTCTGATAATTCCCCTTAATCATTAGCAAATGTCATTAGTGTGGTTCTGTCTTTTCCAAATGGCACTAACTGAAACTAAGATGAGTATTGTCCAAAAGAACCCTGACTACAAACTGTCTTTCAGCCTGGCAGTTCCCTTTGCAGTATGCAGTCTGACAGTCCCCGTTAGCCAGCCCTGTAATCGCATTTTTGTCTAGTCAGAATCCCTTTTCCAGCAGAACTATCAATCTCCTTTGGGACACAGTACTGAAGGCTGTCCTAAAGTCAAAAGCTAGTTGTATATTTTTCATTATCTGGTAAGATTCGTCCTCCTACCAGAGGTAGCTATAATACCCTTTTGGTAGACTCTTGACACATTTTCCCATGTCTTTAATTCTGCTCGCAGTCAAAATTTGTTCTAAAATGTTGCGTGCAGTTAGGGGTTAGACTCATGAATGTGTGTTAGTCTACATCTCCTCTTTCTTACCTCTCAATTTCTTCAGAACTGGCATGCACTTTTAGTCCTTTATTTCTGTAGCATCATCACAAATGTGACAATTTTGTTCTTTCAGCACAGCAACGCAGAAATTACTCATTTGCCAAGTGAAGTGTATTAAAATCCTGAAACTTTGCTTTCCTTGGATAACGTTTATTTCTGTGCAGTTTTCATTAGCCATTTAACACATCCAACACAATAACACTGCCACAGTGTTTTTCTCTATTGAAAGCAGAGGAACAGGAATTATTTTAGTTGTACATCCAGATGATGATCAAGATGATCTTCAGGCTTGCCCCACTTGGTTTTGATTTTCAGTGATTCTTAATCTTTACACAAAAAGGTTTCAATACAGCTAACCCTACTAGATGAATACATGAATGCGTGGTAAAAGACGTCATGGTTTAAGCCCAGGCCGTAAATCCTAAGAAGGAGAAAAAATGACTGCTACTGCTGAACCCAGGACAGACGTGCTTCCAGAAACTTATAATTCCAAGTAGAAAATACAAAGCAAGGATATTTATCTCCATTTTATACAAATACAGAAAAATCAAAACTAATCTGAGATGAAGTGAGGAATTCATCCTATGGTACTGCCACCCCCATCCAGACTGCTACTCTGCTGGAAAACTCACATCTTGTATTGCTTGATAAGCAGAACACTAACGTTGACAATTCCTCTATCTGTTAAGAACTAGCAACTACCATGGCTTTCTCAAAAAAAATCAGCTCAGGTCTGCAGTAACAGCTTTGGTTGAAGCCTTGACTATGGCATTAACCTCACAATTTCATATGCTTGAAGTCTCTGCATTCGGAAGATGATATAAGAACAGTTTCAACCATGGCAGGTGTGTAGCACTTCATCCTCAGAAGCAATGAATGAGGCCAAGAGGAAGTAAGAACTGATCCAAAGATCCAGAGGTTGACAGGAGTCTGTGGATAAAATTTATTTTGCTGTCACTGCACCTGGCATGAGAAGAAAGGGCAATGAGAAGATCCAGTTAACAAGAAGTGTCTTTTCTGAGCCACTGAATCCAAGCATTTCATTTTCACTGGCTTATGTGAATTCATAAGCTGCAATGTAAAAGGACATCTTTATCAGGCAACATACGGCATTTTGTACAAAGCTGTATCTTTTCAAGCTGAACTAGACCTAGAAAGACTTCTGCTAACAGTTTTTACAGAGTATTTTAACCCACACTGAAATATGAGCCATCATTTTTCTTTGTCCTTGCTTCTGTGAACAAGTAAACCAAACTACTGAAGTCACCTAAGTCATACAGAAATTATGTGTGATGTCTGACAGCAGTCCTGAGCTAGTTTCTGAGTGACAGAGCCTGTCTTCTCTCACTGCTGCATGCTCACTCAAAGAAAACAAACCCTCTCCTTGTCTTGGTGGAGTTTTGGGGTACATTGTGGAGGTACAAGAAGGCAATAAAAACAGCAAATGGCACCTTCCCATGGTAAAGAAAGGTAAGCTTAAGGCAGGCTTCAATTGTATTGGGATATCTCATTAGCTTAAGCCATGATTTAGCTCTGCTGGGAGGAAAGAACTCTGGTGGAATGCCACTTACTTTCAAGAAATACCCAGTGTAGATGGTACACCTGAGGGTTCTTTCTTTCCTTTGTACTAATGCTTTAAAAAGGCAGGTTCATGACAAAGGGATTCTACCCAGAAGTGGCTGCATAACAGTGCAGTACAGATAATTGATCAGGATGGAAGACATGATCATGAGACAGTGTACTGTATTAATATCTGAGCCACCGAGACAGGATTTCCTAATTCCAGAGGGGTTCATTGCCTAATTCTTCTTTAATTTTAATGAAGAGTTGTAAATAAATGGATAAATAAATTCATTTTAAAATGTAGGATTTCTCTCCATTTTTACAGGGAAAAAAAGGGAACAAAAACTTTCTTATCTGAAAAAAAATACTGAGAACCAGAAAAACATGTTTGCAGTCCCTTGTTTGTATCATTCCTGACACAAAGATGACTCAATTGTGACTTGAAATGCCTGTGTATATAAATAAAGATGATTGGTTTGTGTCTCTCTTCAAGGCCATCTAACCTTTCTCAGTTTCTTTTCAAACTCTTTCCTGGGTTTGGAAAGATAAGGGGTGATAACTGTGCACATCTGCTCTTCCAAGGTACGGCACCCTGTCCCAGTGTATGGGACAAGTCTAAAGCTGCCCTACAGCTGTCAGATGGTCATTTTTATTAAAAGAACTAGTAAGTACAAAACTCAACATCGTTATAACTGTAGTACCAGAGATAGAGATTTCATTCAGTTTTAGGGCAATCTTCATTTTAGGGGCATTAGTGCTTGCTGTGGTAGAAATCCTCAGCAAGAAAAAGTCTGCTGAGGGGGCTTAAAAATGGCAGGCTTAAAAGAAAAATATAAAAGGAATAGCATTGGCTGCAGGATTAATGCCCTTGGGATACAGAAGGCTTCTTGCTGATACTCTTCATAATTCACACCTGGTCCACGTTGTTGATGGTCCTTGTATTTCTTCTGGGTTGAATTCTACAGTCAATGATTGAGTTACAACTGTGTTTTCAATATCAAACTAAGAGAAAAATTAATTGATGTTGGAAAGGAATTAAGGTCAATGACCATTTCACCACTGTTTTTCAGGAGCATCAGTGGTTCTTTGCAGTGTAAAGAAACCTGTGGCTTCACTGTGCTTTTAGGTCTGTTTTGCCGAGCAAGCATTAGTTGTGCGATTCATCTAGCTGTCTTCAGGCAGGGGAACCAGCAGCCTTACAATGTGCACTTGCTTTTTATGCCAATGCAAAGCCACCACAAAATGCTACTGTCCTGGGTTCAGCAGTAGCAGTCATTTTTCTCCTTGTTAGTACCTGGTGCAGTGCTGTGGTTTTGAATTTCAGCCTGGGAACAACACCAATAACACTGATGTTTTTAGTTGGTGCTCAGTAATGTTTACTCTGACCAAGGACTGTGAGTCTCATGCTCTGCCAGGGAGGAGGGGAAGCCAGGAGAAAGCAGAGACAGGACACCTGACCCAAACTAGCCAAAGAGGTATTCCATACCACAGCACGTCATGCCCAGAATGTAAAACTGGGGGCAGTTACCCAGAAGGGCTAGATCACTGCTCGGTCGGGCAGGGTATCAGTCGGCGGGTGGTGAGTGGTTGTATTCTCTTCCCTTGTTATTGCCCTTATCATTATTACTATTGGTGGTAACAGTAATAATTTTGTGTTATACCTTTGTTACCAGACTGTTCTTACCTCAATCCATGGACAATTTCAATTCTCCTCCCCATCTCTCCGGGAGTGGGGGGGAGGGAGAAGGGGGGGCATTAGCAAGCAGCTGCATGGTTCTGAGTTACTGGCTGGGCTTAAACCATGAAAACTGCCAAATCAGAAAGGTGTTGATTTATATTCACTTCCCATCCATGTATGAAACAGTGGAGAAATCAGGACTTTAAAAAAAATTAATCAGGACAAAGCACTAGTTTGCATGCCTTACACAATACTTCGCACGCACTTTGCACATGTAAGTTCAAAGTTTACTCTGAATGCAACTCATGTACACCAAGGCTTTCAGCCATCACAGCAATAGCACCACTGAGAGCCATGCTATAGACAACAGCTCTGGCAAAGTCCTTCATAAATCCATGTCACACAGGAGAGGAAATAAAGTGTCTGAGGCACAGTCTGCAGTAGTGGAGGGAGGAGATCAGCATGTAGATGAGGGGTCAGGAAGTTCTGCAGACTGGAACAAGCACTGCATACTCTGTGCACCCCCATACACACCTATGTAATCTTAGGACCAGCATCTATAGCTTATAAGACGTGGCTCTCTGTCCTAACATGGTAAGAGTCAAAGTGCTTCTTTTGCTTGAAGTGCCTTGCCCATTCCCAGTGCTCCTGGTAGTGTTTCAGCTTCATGGCCTATGAGGTGATTTGTACCTGCTTCTGGCTCAGCATCAGTGAATGAACTGAGCAAAGACAAAAATGGTCATACCTGCTATGTGAAAGGAAACCCTTGACCCTACACATCTGCTTCTGCTGTGTGTAGCCTGGATTCTAGTCTAGCAGATATTACCCAGGAATGAAAAATGATGCAACAAACCACTATCCTGTACTTGGATTTTCCCTAGAATTCAAGAGGCACAAATTGCCTTTTCCATGGGTACCCTCTTTGGAAAGCCTTGTGATTTGTCTGCATTTGGGTCATTGTGTGTAACTTCCTGTAGACTACTAGAAAGAATCCTCTCCTCATAGACAGGAAAGGATATTTCCCTGTCCTCAAAATGACAGGAGAGACCTGATTTCCAAATTCTCTCCTTACAACTCTGGCTCTGATTTTGCATAATGTGTGCTTAGAAAAAGGACTATGTACTTTGCTGTTTCAGCAGCTAAGTTAGATTAGTGATGAGAGAACATGGATTATTGGTATGCTTCTGTACTTTTTATACACTTGCATTTTCAGTAAAATTCAGCTCATTTACCTAGCTCAGCATGCTGAGTGAGACCAAGGCAGATGCTTAAGAAGTGTTTCAGAGTACTGAAAACAATAAAACACATGGTTGTCCACACAAATCTTACACCTACCTCAAACACCTTGCTTGACAATTTGTTTTCAAGGCTGGATCTGTCAGCAGCCCCACTGGCTGGTGACGGCACATGGCAGTGAACACAGCATGTTGTATACTACATGGGACTCGGCCGTGCTAGGAGGACACCTCTTTGGCCATGAAAACCTGCACTTTATCGCTGCATGCTTGCACTTCTGGTTAAACACTCCATCCAAGTATCCTCTTTCTTTGAAACATCTTAGAAGAGACCCTGGGTTAAACCTTTATAGTGTTTTAATAGAAACTCCTGGTGCCTGAGCTGAGTGGTCTGCATTTGACTGAGCAAATCCCTTCAGCGGAAGACAGAAATACAGAATGATGACCACAAACTACTGTTACCTGGAGGAGTCACGGTGCTTCTGTAGTACTGTGGCTCTTCTCCATTCACTTCCTACAGTCTCAGCAAAGACCTTGCAGTTCCAGACTTGCCCACCACTGTTAGCAGTGGAGATGGACCTTTGACAATCTCTGTTTCAATCTGGATCTGAATTTTTGGAAAACATAAAGGGGGAAAAGCTAATGCCAGATTTGGCCTTTTCTAGTATGATGAGATGCAGACAATGCATTCAAAAATATTGCTGCAATGAGACAAGCAGAAGTTAATGCATTGCATTAGCATTACACTAGCACAACTCTGCGCAGTGTTTGGGTCTTGCTGTTTTGTAGTGAAGGCCAATGTATGTATAAAATCCTACCAAGCAGTGTGGTTAAATCTGTTTCCCCTGCAACAACTCCCAACACATTATCACTGCCAGAACCTGTCTTCCTTGGAGTGCACACAAGCCTCTTCTGTCCTGTCCTACACTGGTTACTCCCTTTGCCATGTTGCAGATGTGCTAACACAGGGACATTCATTAACAGACCATTGGCAGTAATCTTGTGCACCAAACACTTGCAGATGGCTAATTTCTAAATTATCAGTTATTGCTCTCTGCAGTAGTAGATCAGGGTACAAGTTAAATTAGTGTTAAAAACACATTTCCTTCTCATTCTCTTTAAAAGCCAGTGGAAACACTAGTGTGCAGCATTCAACTATGTATGCAGTGTTTACTGGCTAGCTCCTGGTTTGTGAAAGGCAGATTTTCCAGGTGCAGTTTACTCTTTCTTTTCTAGTGAATTGAGCTGCTGGACGTATGCCTACAGATGTTTGCATACGAAACTTCTTTCTCCTTCAAGATACTTGCTTCACAACACATCTAGCCCTTGGCAACCTGGCAAGTGAAATATAAAGACTTAAGGGAAATAAATATATACATAGATAACCACACCGTTTGAGTGTGATCCCAAACCTACTACAGTTAAAGGAAGTGATTTCAGATCACATCCACCATCTAGCCTACAAAGAAGTGCCAAACAAACTTGAAGATATTGGGCTTTCCAAAACTACCACCTCCAGAAAGACCATATTTATAAAATGTTGTTGTGTTGACTCACAACAGTTGTGATAACTCCCAGTCAGTGATCATTAAAATAGAATCTCTGTTCCAGCATCATGCTTGGCTGCAGCAAGAGTTCAGTGAAACTGTTGCCTGCTGCATGCAATGAGTACAGGATCTTAAAACATAGAGTGAAACCCCATTTGTCACAGAGTGAATATCCCAGCAAGGGCAGTTCCCTACCATACCACACACCTTCTTGTTTGTGGTCACATGCTTGAATTGCTTCCTCGTCATTTATAGAGCAGCTATCTAGGAAATGCTCAGGGAGTATCCTAGCACTTGCAAGCATGGCTTTCCGATATGCCCCTTTTTTAACCAAGACATTAGGCAAATATGTTAGATGCTGAGAAACAAAGCTCCCTGGGATCACCCTAACCTGCTGATAAGTTTGGAATACTTCCTGCTGTGTGGCCTGGTGCATGGCCAAGTCCCACATACATGGGAAACAGGGCTGCTTGTTCTGGAGGTGCACTTCCCTTTGATGTGATGGGCATGACCAGGGAGCAGGAGGGATTTTGTGCTTAGGGGCTTGGGTGTCTGATCAAGATAGCCAGGGACTAGGGTTAATGACAAAGCTCTGTCTGGATAGAGAGATAAAGGAGAGGAAAAAAATGAAACACAGGAATTAAACTGAGGAATATTTCAATCACAGTCCCTGAAATGCCAAAGAGAAGGAAAGATCTTTAGAGTAAGAAACATCTCCAACTTGGACATAGCAACACCTGAGTACCTTTCAGCCAGCAAATCTGTACACTGTTTACGCAGGAACTTTTTATGATCTTCCCTGCTGCAGCATGTCTGCTTAAGCCCAACATTTTAAAATACCTGTGCCACATGGAGATGTGCAGGTGATTCAGTACTAGCATGCAGACCTCAGCATGGCCCTTTGACGGATGCCGTCATACCCTCAGTTCAGCTATGATATGCTTCTGGAGAAAAGCATGCCAGCCAGAGGATAGATCTGCTTGCACTGACACTGCACCTGGCATCACAGCTTATATTACCATCTAGATTATCTACGGGTATCAGACATCTACAGATGGAGCTACTCAAGGGTCTGGGACAGACCTGAGGAACTGTGGGCTCAGGATAGGGTGTGCTGCTCACTGCTGTGCCAAAGCCAGCTGAATGATGTCTCAGAACAAGGTGCAATTTTTGTGTCAACAACATGATCATTAATGTGGCTGTCAGCAGGCTTCAGATCAAATCCCTCTCTTGGAGTGATGCAAAGGGAGTAAGAGAGATTTTTTTGTTGAGCCTAAAGCTGAGCTCCCCTGCTCTGGACTGCAGCATACAGATGGTGGGAAGTGTGTGTGGACAGAAAAGTCTCTGCTGTCTAAGCCTGCCTGGCTCCTTGCCCAAGTTTCAAATGCAGCCTGTGAGGGTTTGACTCGAGACAATTTAATGGATACTGTGTGGGTGCTGGAGGCAAGAGAAGCCAAGAAAATGAAGGATCTGTCTGTCAGCTGATTTATTCCCTCAGATATTTAATGCAAACCCTTCACTTCTGTAAATATACTCTTCATGCTGCTATAGATACAGTATGGTTGCAAGTGTGATACTGTGAGAAAAGGGTGCAATACATGAACCAAAACTGAAGAGTTTTTCAGCTGTGGACCAAATTCCTTACATGTGGTAATAACATGCATGTGATAAATCCATTTTTTTCTGCAAACTGGTCATACGTTACATGTCAGAATAGTAATTCCCCATATATCCTACTCTTTGACCTTCTCTGCAATAGGCCTTTTGAGTCTTCTTTACTTGCATTGCTTTTAACTTTACCAAGTGCCTTAATCCCTCTGAATTTTGATCATTGATTGCCAACAACTGCAGTGATTAAACTGAAGCCTGAACCATCCCCATTACTTAAACTCACAACTTGCTTTTTCTGCTAATCAGATTTCAACAGCATTCCTCTCTTCCCCCTTGTCTGGCTTTTACTGAAAAAAAAAGGAAATATGCAGGACCATTTGCCAGGGTTAATTTTTAATAGTGTCCTCACTGCCGCAGCGAATGAAGTCATTTATTATCCAGCAGGCAGCATGCTAACGTGCTAGGCAATAACAAACGCTAAAGGAGGTGACTCAGGCATAAAGCAATCAGCAAGTTTTACATTCCCACCTGCCAGATGGCTCAGCCAAAGGGCCAAGCATGGTGTTTGGGCTCACCCTACGCTTGCGTCTTCATCTGAGGGACACCTGGATTCAAAGCCACGTAGCCAGTGAGGTTTATTTGCTTTGTAGTCATGTGCAAAGCATGCATGTAAACAGAGTCCGTGTGGCCAGCCCTCTCCTCTGCCTGGGCACTCTTTTCCTTTAAGGAAAGAGGTTAATATTCTTCCTAGGAGGTCATCCCTGCTGCAGGAATGTGTCAGCCCCAAAATAACCCTTTGTGATCTCAAGCAGACTGGAGCTCAGCCTACCTACCTGTAAAACAGGTTTAATGTTAGTCAGCTTTTTTTCTGGAAAAGCTAGGAGGATTACTTCATGTCTGAGATCTCTAGAGGCAAACTGCTCAGTGGCAGAGTGCATTTTAAAAGAGCAGCTGGAAATCAGGGCCACAGCAGGCTGGCAGCCCTGTGAGCAGGTAGAGATGACCACAGAAGCTGCACTGTTCTTGTCTCATTACCTAAGACATTACCTAAGATCTTCAGAAAGACTGAGGTGCAGATGATTCACAAACCAGAATGTAATTTTGAATTACTTACTAAGTAGGATTCATGTTGATTTTACTGCTCTGGGAAGCACAGGGTTGGGCTGCAGAATCTCTTTCACCATCTTTTCAGGGTGAAATATGGTGGTAAAGTCCTCTCACCCATGTATCTATCGCTGTTGTATTTTTGCCTCCACAGAGCAGTCCAAAGGCTGCTGAAGAAGTCCATGAATCTTCCCTGTATCTGCAGTAAGCTTGGGATGAGACCTCAGGAAACCAGCGAGAATGTGCTCCTGAACATGCTATAGCAAGTTCACTGGCATGTGCTGATCATTGCAGGAGAGCTGGTATAAGTGTGCTTCTGAAAATGAGGAAGATCTTGACTAAGGAGGAAGCAGCTTCCTGCCTAGTCCTCACTGGAGAATGCCAGTGCCACTTAAACGGAGGAAGAGAGCAGCTCGGAGACCATTCTCTCCTGTGTACTATCCCAGAGAAGCTAGAGGGAAGGTATTGTTTTAATTCACTTTGTGATCATGTAAGTCTCCCAAATCCCACTGCCAGTAAGCTCTTATGATTAAACAGCTTACTGAAGGGAAACTACGGCTAGCGCTTTCTGCCCTCATCAAAGCATATTGCTAATGAGGACTGGGAAATCATTCACTGCTAATACATCTGTAGATTAGCATTAGCTTACTCATGTTTTCATAATCAATGGCTGATATTCCATCAATCATTTGGATTCATGTAACGTTTCTGATCAGTGTTGTGGTATGTTAGTTTCAGTATTTCCCTAACTGAAGTTTGCTGACTGGAAGCGGAAAAGGCAAAGTCAAAAGTCTGAGGCCAGAGAAGAAATTTGCAACATGCTGATTTGGGCATCTTAATTTAGGAATCTTGCAGGACATCTGACTTTAGAAACGTTTAGCGTTGGCCCCCTGAAAGCCATCAGACAGATCTGACTGATTTGTGTGTCCACACACACTTATATCACTGTTGAGCTCATGAACACAAGCCTGAAAAGTTACCTAGAAATACACACCAGTCTTCACCTTCCCTGACAAAGAGGCAGCAGAAGAAAGAGAATGACTGAATTGCAGACTAAAAATTACACTGGGGGTCTACTTTATAGCTTCAGCGTGGGAAAGTTCTTTATTAAAGATCTTTCAGTCTACAGAGTAGTAGTGCTGCTTTGCATCAGCTTTACTTGATTGTAAAGATGGGAACCGAGGTTCAGGGCAGCTCCTTACAGAAGAAGGAAAACTGGAATTTAGTGAAGAACTTGACAGCAGAAAAGGCTCAGTAGCTTAATTGTGAGGATGAGAAGGAGGGCTGCGTGGCAGGGATAAAGACAATGTGCAGCCAGTATATTAAAAAGCAATCAAAGGAAAAGAAACCAGTACTTTAACTGTCTTTAATTTGATCTAGTTCTACCATGTGTGCATGCCTGAGTCACGCTGCGCAACACTGCTTTGAAATTTCTGCGAGAAACAGATGTAGTTGGCAATTGTTCTTTGATGTTGAGGAGAAGAAAATCTGCATTAGCTGATGAAGAAGTAAGAAGATTCTTTTAAAAAGAATAGGAATAACCTTAGTGTCTCCCCCAGGAGAACACGTGGGATGGTCTGAGATTTCAGTACAAGGTCATCTGGTACAGAAGGGCCTTGAACTACACAGATAAATCTGTTACACATCAGTGACTGCAAAAATGACACAGAGTGCAAGACATCCCTTAGCAACTCATCTGGTTTCCACTCCTGGAATACTGGCTCCTGTCAGCAAAAGTGACAGATAACCCAGAGCACAGTAAGTGATCCAAACTGTACCATTAAGAAACTGGTAGCACACGAGCTGAAAAGTGTTCAAACTTTTCTGTACAGTTTGAAAATGAAAATCACACAGGACCTAAATATCACAAAGGATTGTTAAGAAAGAATAAGGCTTTCAACTTCTAAAGACCTGAGTTACCGCTGTATGAAGACAAAGGCATAAACCTCTCAGAGTGCAGTGATGTGAGGATCAGGCTCCAAGGAAATGATTGACATTCAATTCAAGCTGACAGGTAACAAAAGCTCCTGTACATATGCCAGCAAAACTCTGCCAGGAAAATCAATGTGGCTCCCAACTTGCAGATTTCTGCATTACTAGACCTCCCACCCTATCTGACCCTTGCTGACCTACATTGGCAGGCTCAGCAGAGAGTGGAAGAAGGCACAGGACCTTACCAACCATAGCCACTCTTGGTCAGGTGAGGGCATTTCATGAAAGAATCAGTGTCATATCTAAGCAACTCAGGCTCTAGAGTCACCACCTGATCAGCCATAACTCCTGGGGAAAAGGAGGAAAGGACATTTGTTGGGGACTTATGCAAACACCCATAGGAATAAACAGGACGCTTTCTGTAGAGGGCAGTGTGCTTCATATCACACTGAAATTAGCAGGCAACTGTAGAAAGCAACACTGCTCATAAATACTGCGTCAGAGTTGTAACCTGTGTCTTATGTCTTCCACCACCCAGCAAAATCTGAAGTCCAAACATCCCACCATCCACTCAGGTGAGGGCTTCACATTACTTATTACTGCATATCAGTAGTATAGGAGATGTGATTGTTGTTCATTCCTATTGTGTCTCTACAAGGAGGATGACTCAGTGGAAATGACCAGTCTTTGAATTACGTCATTTGTGTGTGTGTGTTTGGGTCGGGTTTTGTTTTAGTAGAAAAAAGAAATCAGCAGTTGTCTGTATTTTTAAATTGTGGAACACAGACCTCCTTCCACTTCCAAGCTCTGATTACAAAGTCTTTCCCTTCTGTGATTCCAGAGCATCTCATCTCTGCAAGCTTCTATTTTCACTGCATAATTGATCAAATCCAACTGGTAGCAGAATTAATTTCAGTCAACATGAATCTTTCCTTTCTCTAGCTCTGGTGGAGCATGGGCCAGGCATCTGACAAGGCACTGCCTGGTTTCCCTGCTTATTTTGAGAAAGAAATCCATGATGAGAAGATTCTGTCCTCCATCAGACAACCCTCCAAGCCTGATGAGTTTGCTCCACCCACTCAGAATCTTCTGCAATGTGTCTAATGTGCAATGTGTTTAAAGAAGCCTGAGCATTCTATTTAGTAGAACTTAATCCAATCTTAATGCCATTATTCTGGGGACTAAAAACAAAGTGGTCCCACTCACTGGTTGGGTCATCTGAAACAAAGTGATGTTTTAGAGATGATACAGAGGAAGATTCCCCCACCCCACCCCTCACCCCCTTACTGATTGAGTGTTGATTAGTTAATTCAGGGGTTTGTTTTGCTAGCTGATTACTGCAAGAGATCTCTCAGTTACTGTCCATCTTAAAAAGCCTTTTGAAACTTGGAGTGATGGGTCTTCCCTTTTCCTCTGTGTGGTCTCTCAGCTGGACTTAAGCTGCCAAATCTTAAGTATCTCTGAGAGTTCCAGGCCCTTGGGATGACGGTACACATCTACAAAATTTCACAGCTGCAATGTCTCTTGTGGCTGTCTCTCTTGGTGCGACTGGAAGTAAGGATTAGCCCACAGACTTTTCCCAGTCTCTAGAAGACTGTGTTAAATTATAGTGTTGGATAGTTTTATCATAGTTTCTTTGAGATTACTTTAGTTTATCTCATAATTTCTTTGTGTTGCAGAAGACTCAGATTTCCCCCATAGTCTTTTTATAGTCAGTCACTTGCAGTATAACACCTCATTGTCAGGAGTATATTCCAGCCTTGCATTTCCACATAGGTTTACCCAATACATTAAGAGCTTCTCTCAAAGGCTGCTTTCTGAGTCATGCTATTGTTGGGGTTTGTGATCCAGCAGTATTTCCTCTACAGCCTCACCAGGAAGCTAAAGCGGATTGTCCATGAGACAATAATTTTACCTGTACATTTTGTTAAGCCCCCAGGCAGCTGGCCACTGTTTCTCAAGCTTGACACTACTGTATCAACAATGAAAATTGGGGAAGAGTGTTTCTAAAATAAAAAGGTTGAGCACACACTTCATTCCATCACACAGTTGGAGATGTGTTTCTTGTAGCTCACATCAGTAGTCTAAAGATTAAGAAACTTCCAGTTTTTCAAGACTGTCCCACATAAGGCACCCTTTCCAGCTTGGGAGTAAAGCAAACATTTTGTGTATAACCTAGACGCACTCCATATTTACAAATAAGCCTGTCTTAAGCAAAGGGTATTTCCACTGGCTTCTGTGGCTACTTGCACATATAACAGTTTTCAAAATTGTCCTCTTCTGAGCTAACAAAGCTCAGTTTTTTTTCTTCCCATAGTGATAATTATAAGGGTTTCCCCTCTCTGCCCTTAGACAATTCCCTTTGCCATTTTTTAATTCACTCACTAACAGAAGTAACCTGCATAGCAGTAAGTCTGCCTTCTCAGAAGCATCCCTGTAAAGAGAATGCATTTGAAGACTGCAAGCCTATTCAACCCTCTGTTCCAGGTAATTCCAGAATAGTCTCATATCTGCAGTTATTCCGCTGAAAAAAACCACCAAAACAAACAAACAAAAAAATGAAAAAGAGGCAAGGGAGGAGAATGGAGACTGTCAGAGGATGGAAGTCAATTTAATTTCTGAAAAAATTCATTCATCCCTTACTAGCATCTTCAGAGTTGCATCAGCTTCGTGTGGAAATGGATTTGGCCTTGTACTTCTGAGAATCCAGCCTTGTTTCAATTCTTCTGCACACTTCCTTGTTTCCTTCTGACTATACTTCAGTTTTGATCCAAGTATCAGACAGGCCCACGAGGCAGCTGACTTGTACTGAATCTAACATAAACTTCCGCTGACAGGTTCTGCTACTTGGATGATGCATGGCCCAACAGTGAACAAAAACGGTAAGGTCTCAGCTTCTTTCCTTGCTATAGCAACAAAGTACCTTGTGACTATAATTTTTTGTCTGTTTCATAAGCTGGTTGCCATGGCAAGTTACTTGTGTTACATTGTCAAATACTAAAAGGAAACAATTTGCATCCTCTAGAAAACCCAACATTTAAGAAGTCTGCTGAGTATCTGCTCGCTTTCTGCCATGACACTACGCATCCTGTAAGCTCAGGGAGGGATGAGCAAGAAAAACACCTCAGTATGGGAGAAGTACTTGCAGGTTTCTTGAGTCTGGTGTATTTGCAGGAGGAATAAATTAAAAAAATCACGAAGAACATGGTGCTGTGGAGAAAAAATAACCTCATGTGACCTCTCTCAGTACGCTCTCAGAGACAATGTTAAAGAGAACACAGTGATACAGTCTTTCTTCCAAACATTCCAGAAAGTTTCAGCTAAGCAGAAAATGTATGCATCCAGGAAAATGGACTGGCTGAGTGCATGGATCACTCAAAGCCATGGAAAGAACCAGGAAGCAATCTGCATACTTAAAAGTTGCTTGTTTTGGTTGGTTTGTTTGTTTCATTTTTTTTGTTTGCTTGTTTTTGTTATTTGGTGGTTGTTTTTTTTTAAGGGGGGAAGAAAGAACAGTGCAACTTGGCCATTGCCTGGCTGTTTCTATTAGAAATAACTCTAAACACTTCAAAAACAGTGGGGATGGCCTTGATCTGGAGCTGACTATCAAGTTCTGTTGCTAACTAAGCTCTTGGCATAATTTCGTATGTCACACACTGGAGAGCTAAGCCCATGCTTTGTCTATGACTTCCCTCTTGCAGAGGTTAAAGTGGGAATACCAACATGGAGTTATTTTTTGGGTCACAGCACGTACAAAAATCAGCAATATACCTTTCTAGAGTGAATTTAGTGTTGTTACAAAAAGTCATGATGGTAAAAGCATGTCCACAAGTTACGGCCTCCCACCTGCAGGCTACATACAGTTAGATCAGTTTGGTGAAGACTATCAGGAGAAACTCAAGGCATGGAAATGACAGGACAGCTTTTCAAACCAGATGCAGATTAAATTTTGGCAGTATTACTGTGGCAGTAAGGATCTTCTGAGATTCTCTCCATGTCCTTTGTAATGCTCTGCATGTCAGTGGGCCCAGTATTTGACTAGCTTTCCTCTCCTGTCAAGCAAGGCTTGCAACAATTAGCAGCACTGCAGGATTTCTAGAGCTCTGTGCATTTCTCTTTGCCTGTCTTGAGGTTTGCCATAGATCACAGGAGCTGCACTGATGCCTGATGGGTAGCTGAAGGAGTTTGTTGGCAGTCCAGCTGGAGACACCATGGGATGAGATAGCAGAGTAGTCAGTAGACTGAACCATCTTCTCCTGATGGCATTTGCACTGCTGTTGCTGTGACACTGCATGTCCCATGTTTAAAAGAGAGAGTTCCATCTTCCAGAGGCCTTAGACAGGCTAGACATTTTCCTAGAATTAAATTCAAGTTTAGGGAAAGGAAGGAAGAATCTGTCCAGGCAGAATGTTTGTTTTTTGTTGGTTTTTTGTTGTTGTTGGTTTTTTGTTTGTTTGTTTTTTTACAAATAGAATGGGACATAACCTCAGCAAGTTCAAATCTGCCCAGCTTTGCCAAAAGCAAAGGAGCTATGCTGCTTTTCAACAACTGAGTATCTTCTATATTTTGTTTTTTTTTTTAATCTGAAAATAGAATGGGGAGAAGACATCTTTGAGCTGTATCATTCTGTCTTCACAAGTTTGTGTCATCACCCCTATATGATTGTGTGGTCATGACTCACCAATATGTGATTTTGCCTCTGTCTTCCAGCAGCCTGCAAACAAGTAGTCCTCAGGTATGTTATATCCTGATGTGATCTGGCACTGAAGAATGAGCAAGAAAGAGGCAGTTTCAGCTGCATCTTCTTGTGTTTCTTGGTTCTTGTATGACACTGAGAAACCCAAGAAGCATGAAACTGAGGTTCACCCATAGCTGTGTCTACTACACTACATATACATTATTGCTTCCTTATAAGTTCTTAGGGTCACCTACGTACTGAAAAATATATGCCTGCTTTCAAGGCGCTTCAAAAGGCACGATTTCTGCATGATCCAGTACCCTGCCCACTTGCCAGAAACGGCTAAAACAAGACGAGACAGGTAGCACAGAGAGGCGGTGCGCTGTGCATACGTGTGTTTGCCTATGAAGAAACCCATCACCTTTCTATGTGCTAAAGTTCCTGCTGTTGGCTTGGTCAGGATAGATGCTGTGTTTCTGTAAGCTGTGGTTCTTGCATCTGTGGAGAACTGAGAGGCTGTTCAGAATCAGGAGGGCTTGTTAGAAGCATGCAAGGGTTTTGAGGTAGGTTAAAGCTTCAGCCTTTTTGTTTGGACCTGCCTGTTTGCATGCTGGCTTTCAGAAAGTGCTCTGGCAGGTTTGTTTGTGCAAGTCTATGAGACCTGAAAAAACCTGCACAACTCTCTCAACGCGTATCTTTAGAACTCGCCTAATCTACACTCGCTAACAGCTCTGCAGGGCATGAGCTTTCTTTTTATTATGTGTGAAGTGTGGTATCTAGAACAATGGTTTCTAGATCCATTTTCAGATTACTGCGTTTCTAACATAAACAATAAATTGTGGCAGTGTGCTTGAAATGTACGTCAGAGTGAGCAGTGCTTTTCCAGTACCACAAATGTATACTTTATTTGGTGCCATTCTGCATTCAAAGCTTGATCACTTCTGCATACTCCCGGCTAACAAGGTGACTACGCAATCCACTATCCACTTTTCAAAGTAACAGGGGAATCATGGAGCCTAACGGTAGAAAACATCTGGTAACATAAGCGTACTGTGACAGGACTGAAAGTACCCTGCTGACAGACCTGAATTAGTGGAATGAAGCTTGAGCGCATCAAGGTTTGACTTAGTGGTGCTCCTTGTGGGATCCAAATACAACCAGAGAAGTCCCTCTTGCCGCACTCGGACCTTTGCCTGTTAATTGGAGCAATGCTGTTCACAAGATACATAGCTCTGCTGCTAAGCTTAATTGGACCCCAGCTGTCTTACACGGAGACAATTCAGGTGTCTTTCTTTTTGTGGCCTAAATCGCTCCTGGATAATTTGGAGTTGTCTATTTTCTTAGGCATTTCCAGAGGCCAGCTAAAAGCATCCTGTGAGCTGGGTTTAGCCTAAAGGTTATCAGGGCCTGTGACTGGTAACAAACACTGCGTTTCAGCAGCCTCTGGTATTCTTCCCCCAAAACATGCTGTTTGCCAGGCCTCCGAGGGAGCCGAGAGCGGCAGCTCACCTCAGGGCAGCACCTCCAGCGTGCGGCCCCGGGGCCTTGCCTGTAGGGCGACGGCAGGGCGGGTGCTCTGCCTGCCGCGATACCTGGAGGGCCGTGCCCTTTCGACGGCAGCAGCCCTGTTCCGCGGCTGGCAGGGGCAGACGAGCGGCGGCTCGCAGGCCCCGGGACAAACGGGCCGTTGAGGTGATCTCCCGCCCCACACGCCGTGCCTGGGCAGCTCCTGCTGCCCGCCCGCTGGCTACCGGGAAAGCCGCGGCAGCTGTCGGTACTCCTACGGGCAGACCACCCCTGCCGCCATGGGAAGGGCGGGCTGAAGGGCTTGGGTGGGCAGCGGCCGCCAGGCCTTCCTCTCACCCCGAAAGGGTGAGAGGGTGGCGGGGCGGGAAGCACAGACACGGCCCCAACGGTGCCCAACGAGATCGCCGCGGTTCCTAGGAGAAGGGGCGCGGACCGGTGGTCACGCTCCCGGGCGAGGCGGCGGCCCGGCACTCGCCCCCCTCACAGCCACCCGCCGCCGCCCCAGGGACCGCCCCGCGGCCAGGCCGCGGCGGGCGGGCGGTGGCGCCTGATTGACAGCGGCGCGGCCCACCCGGAGGGCGGTGGCGGCGGGGGCCGCCTATCAGGGGCGGCGGGCGACCGTTGAGCGGCGGGTAGGCGGGGTGTGTGTCCTGGGTGTGTGCCGCGGCCGCCGGCGGGGCGCGCTCCCGCTCCGCTCCGCTGCGCTGCGCTCCCCCCGCACGCACATTGTCCGGGCGCGGCGGCGGCGGCACAGCGCCCCGGCGCCCCGTGCCAATGCGGGGCGGGCGCGGCACACCGGGGGAGCCTCCGCCACCGCGGTGGAAACTTCACCTCGCCGCCGGGCCGACTCGCGGCTGAAGCCCCCGGCGGGGCCGGGCCGGGCCGGGCTGGGCGAGGAGGAGCGGAGCGGAGCGGATCGGCGGGAGGAGGGCGGGGGGAAGGTGAGCCCGGCGGGGGAGCGCCTCGTCTTGCTTGATTTTTCTCCGTTGGAAGGAAAAAATAAACAATATTATTGCTCTGCTTTAAACTTCCGCGCCCCGCTCTCCAGGACGCGCATCCCGCCTGGCGGGGTGGACGAACCGGTGAGTGACCGCCGGGGACGGAGCCGGAGCTGGGGGAAGGGGGTGGGACGCGCCGTCGGAGGGGCAGCACCCACCGGCTTGGCCGGGACGGGATGGGCCGGCAGCGCCGCAGCCACCTGTTACCGGGGCGGCTGCAGCCTCTGGGAAGGCTGAACCCCCGCCGTGCCGGCGATGGCCCCCGCCGTTCCCCAGGGAGACGGCGGCGCGGCCCGCGGGTGTTTGGGGGCGGTGGCGCAGACCCACCTGCTCGCTCGGCCGCGCCATGACTCTGCTGCCTGGGCGCTGCCCGCGCCGACCCCAGCCCCGGGCAGGCCGCCCAGACACAGCTTCTGCGTCCCCTTTGCCCTGCATCCTCTCTGCCCTCCTCTTCCTGCACCCCCTTTGCACTCCTCCTGCCCTCTCCCCGATCCCAAAGCTCGGCCCTCTTTCCTTTTCCCCCTTACTCTCCTGCTCCCCCACATCCCTAAGTTACATCTCTCTGCCACGTCTCCCTCCTCTTCCTTGCACCCCCAGTTTGCAGCTCCCTGCAGCTGCCTTCCTTCATTCTCTTGCATCCCTCTTGCCAACCCTGTGATGTTCCCAAAGGAGAGCATTGGACTCCCCCAACCTTTGCCAAAGCAAGTGCCTGCCAATCTCTGGCTCTCCCAAGTCAAAGCAGCATCCCTCATGGGAGACCAGCTTCATGTCAGTGGCAGGCATCAACAGGCCAGGGGTGAGGCATAGAGGGGGCATGGAGGTGGCAAGAAGCACATGTACATGCATCTGTGAGCAAGTGAGCAAGGTCCCCTAGTTCCTGCATGTGTGCATCTCTGCGGAGCTGATGACACCTCCCTTCCTCCCAGGGATGCTTGCTGCCTGGGCTCTGCGGTGTGCAGAGGCTGTTTGCCTGTCCAAGGGTGTCACAGAGGCCAGGGGTTCGGCACCTTCACCCCAGGTTAGGGTGGGTGAATCTGGTGGCTTACTTGGCTCATACGGGTTGTGGTTGGGGATGCATTTTAATTGCCTCAAGCAGTGGAGCATGTCTGGAGACAAAAAGAGCTGGTGAGAAATTGGAGAGGACTGGTGAACTCTGGAGTGGCTGGAGAAGTGCTTAGGACAGCTGGAAACAGGATGGTACAGCAGGAATGGCTTGACCCAAGTCAACCCTTGACACAAGTGAAGCCACTGACTATTTCAGTGACCTTAGTCTTGTCTCTTTAGCCTGTGCTGTGCAAAGTTGCTTCTGGGTAGGTCTTTGAGATGCAGAAGGGGTACAAACTCCTGGTGAGGCTTTGTTGCAGCGTACCCCAGTCTGGTTGGCATGGGTAGGTTGTGTGGGTTGGAGCAGGAACTGATTTTGAACAGAGAAAAAGCACATGAGGCTTTGTGTGGGTTCAGTTAAAGAGTTGGTAGAGAGCTGTATGGTGGATATTGGTTTCTTCCAGTCAGGACTGTGTTTATGTATTTATCCTTTCAGACCTCCAAAGTATTTTGATTTTGCAGCTGGTGATTTGCGTGATCTTCCCAAGTTTGTAACACAGCCATGACTATGGATCCATGTGTCTAGTCCTTTCCTTCTCAGCAGACGTTTTCCCTGTGTGATTAATAACATGCCAAATGCTTCATTTCAGCACCGGGAAGGTTGATGCTGATTGATTTCTCTGTGCAGTCTCCTTGGTGGGTCTGGAAGCTGATGGGTGTTATCACTGCAGAAGTCTGCTTTGGGGTGGCAGCTGTCAGCATGTCTTCTTTTTTTTTGTCTCAGCGAACCTCTTATTTTAATTAAAAAGAGGTGAAGTATGCATGGTGATACCCTCTGTGTTTACATAAAAATGATCTTGTAATTAGCAATAATTATCTCAGTTTGGGTTATCACTGTAACACTTAAACCAGACTTATGACCCGAGGGACACTTTCCTGCCCCAAAAGTATTACCCTTGGTGTGGTTCTCTCCAGTGGTGAGTTTGGTTCTTGGCTGCCATCAGTGGTGAAGGTGGATCAGCAGTGGCAGTAACCTCAGGTTTCTCTGACATCAGCCTGGAAAGTGATGGCCACAGTTTCCTCATCGGGTCCGGTGCTGCTTCATGGGGCTCCCTGGCAGACCTGCTGCCAGGTGTGTGGAGATGGCCTACCTTGGTTGCTTTCACCCTATGGTCTGAGGACTCAAGAGGGCTCCTTTGTTGGGCCGGAGAGGGGAATAAAAACAGGCTGAAGATCTGCCAATTGAACTTTTTCCCCTGTAGTTCTCTTAGGGAGGTTTGGAAAAGGCTGCTGGTACTTGGGAATGCTTTTCCCTATGATGGTAGAGGTGCTGAAGCATTCTTGTCCACATGGCCATCTTTCACCTAACTTCCCTTTAAGGTGAGCAAAGCTCAGCTCAAAAAGCATAAACTTTTGTTTACAGGCTGGAGATGGCACCTACTCCCTCCCCTCCTGCTGCTGGTGCACCCTGGATTTACCTTCTTCTAGGCTGCCCTGGGAGCTCCCCAGGTTTTCTTAGGGGGGAAAAAGCCTTTATGGAGTGAAAAAGTTGAATATGGGGTAAATAATAAATTAAAACCCAAGGCAAAAAAGTGCTGCCTGCAGAGAGGGGGTTCCTTGTGGGAGGGTTATGAAGGGAAGCGGTAGAAACATCTTGTGTCTTGTCTTTTGAGATGTGTTATGATGCTGTACTTGGTATAGGCAAGGCAAAATGATTGTGCTTTTCTTTATTTAATTGTAATTTATTATCAGCTTACTGTTTCAACATTTTTGAAGCGTAAACTTAAAAGCAGAGCTTATTAAGCAGTAGATGAAAATGCTGAATGTGTTTGAATTTTACCTGTATTAACCTAATAATATGTTTATGACTTTATATTTGATCAGATCTGTAGCTGGTTGAAGACCACAAAAGAGTATTAATCAAATAAATTATTTGACAAATATGGATAAGATTAAACAGGTGGTCTGTTTGCCAGCTGCTGTTCAACTGCTCTGCCATAACACGTTCCTCTTTCTCTTACCTTTCCCTTCCAGCATTCATTTCATTTTTTCATGGCTTATCTTTCCTGACTGTCCTCAGTATCTGTTTAGTTTCATTTTTCCTTTCCTTGTATTATCCTTTCTTTTTTGTCTCATGGTTTTCCTTTCATTCTTTTTCTGCCTCTTTCTTCAACCTATTTTCTGTGCTTTTTGAGTCTAAAAACCAAATTTTCCTCTTCACCTTTCTGGTGGAGATCTCTATTGAACACTTCATAGCCAGCTCAACTAAACCTGGTATGTGTTTAAATCTGTAAAAACTTAAAACTAAACCCAAACTGCAAGTGAGTATGAAGATGTTTGCTCAGTGGTAATGCTTCTCTGACTCTCCTCGGGTTTTCTGGCTGTTGCAGGAAGGGTGTTACTGCAATTCTGGAGTTTTTTCCCAGCTCTCATTTATGCTTGTACTCTCTGTATGTCTTTTTTTTAAAGCAAATTTGACTGTATACCAAGAAAATGATGGGAATCAAATGGCAGACTTTGTGTTGTTCATTGGTTGTGTATCTGTGTGCAACCTGCTTCCATCTGCTGCATGACCAAGCCCAGCCTCCCTGCTGGGCAGTTCTGCTTTCCTCCTGGCATTATGCTTCCTTCCTTCCCCCTGGGGTTACATACAGGAGGTATCTATCTTTCAGTAGGGCAAAACAAATGAGTGCTCTGAAGGTTTCCTGGCTCACCTGTTACTTTCAGAGTCTGTGTGAATGTCAGGTTGATGAGGGCAGGTAGCAAGAGGTGAGTGGGTTATCATGCATGACTGAGCAGTCACAATACTCAACTTAGATCTAGTATTCAAAGATTAAAGTCTCAAAAATGAGAGTGCTGTTATGGAGAAAACTTGTTTTTTTTTATCCCTGGATAAAATCAAGGGAGGGTATTCTTGAAAACAAGGAAAGGAGTAGAAAACTTTGTATTTTAGGGTAGGAAGTTGCTATGCATTGGAAATAAAGCTCAGGCAGCCCAGAGGAGTGTGATGGGAGTGCTCAGAGGGCATGATTTGTCTCCATTGATGGTTGCAGTGATGTTGCTGCAGTGAATGAGCTAAGCTGTGTATGTCATACCTGTCTGCTTTAAGTACTGGGAATTACGTGATGATGTCCTCTCGTACCCATAAGGAAAGGTCTCTGC